ATACCCAGAACATAACATACCCAGGACACAACATACCCAGGACACAAAAACGCAGAACACATGCAATATACCCAGAGCATAACATCCCCAGGACATAACATAGACATAGTACAACATACCCAGAACACAACATGCCCAAAACACAGTAAACTAAGAACACAACATACACATGACACACCATACCCAGAAAACAGCATACCCATAACACATCAAACCCAGGAGATAACATACCAAGAACATAACATATCCAGGACAAAAAAATGCTAAACAAAACATATCTAGTACACCATACCCAGAACATAACATAGTGAGAACACAACATACCCGGAACGCAACAATGTAAGAACACAACATACCTAGGACGTAACATGGCCATAGCACAACATACCCAGAAAACAGCATACCCAGAAAACAACATACCCAGGACACAACACACCCAAGACACAACACACCCAGGACATGACATACACAGAACACCCAACGTACAATATATCCAGGACACTGAATACACGGAATACAAAATATTAAGAACACAACATACACATGACATAACATACCCAAAACACAACATAGTAAGAACACAACATATCCAGGGCACAACATACCCAAGACATAACATACCTAGAACACAACATACACATGACCCAGCATACCCAGAACACAACATGCCCAGGACAAAACAGGATGCGACAAACACAAAACACAACATACACAGAACACAACCTAACTAAGATACAACATAACTAAAATACAACAGAATACGCCCCATTCCTGATTCAGACTGAGTCTGTCATGATTCAGAAAAGGGTTGACCTCAATTTGACATAAATTGCAACAGACTGTTTAGTGTATTTGAATTTATTCGCATATTAGCATCGTGCATGTTCAATATTGCATCCACAGAGACCAGTTGCCTAGACGCTAATTCACACTACACACATGATTAGAAGTAATTAACTGTAATAACGTGTGCTGTGAATCATTAAAATTGCCATTATCAATCAATATGTGTTTGGTTAATGACAACCGCAGAGTTCACGCAGTCTGGAGTGATCGTAAGCTATTTGATTTTGTCAACGTCGTTCCGCATTTTTCGTCAATGTACAAAGAGTGTTCATTTTGCCATCCTACATACTGCGACAAATTATTTTTTTTTGCAGAAAAAGGCTTAGAACAATTCGATAGGTGTAATATGACAAAGCTAACCCGTAATTTTGGTTTCAGTACTTTTGTAATTCTAGGGTATATTCTTGTGTACATTTGCCTTTCTGTTGAAAAGAGGCGAGTAGCCAAAAATGACTGCTGCCCTCTCTGGTCAAACGATGTATTTGTAAATTTCCTTAGTGGTTATTATTATTAAATTACATTTTGTAACGGTGGTAATGTTTTTCTGTTTCTCTCGTTGAATGGTTCATTAGAGCAGACTGGAATGTTAATATCATTAAGACAAATCCACAGACAAAGATTAATTTTATAGTAACTGCCTGAAAAAAATAATTCAACGAAACAATCCTAAGGACAACTTAATTTAGTATATCGGGTTTTATGACCTTAACATCCAGGGGCGGATTTAGGATTCTGGAATAGGGGGGCCGATAAGTTGGCCTAAGGCCAAGTTCGCGAGCGCCGATGGCGTGAAGCCCTGTTGGTTGTTAAAAATAGGG